TTTTAATTTTATACATTTAATGTAAATTGTTGTTGTTGTTTTATATAAATTTGGTATAAAAATGGAAAGAGCCAAGCACCACAGTCCTGATAAAAACTTTTGAGTTTACAATCAAAAAGCCAAAAGGAAATAGCTCGAATAGTTGGCTGCTAATAGTTGAGAATGCAATAAATTATAAAGAAAAACCAAAAAATAGAGGTAAAAAATCCAGAATCAGTGCGGTTTTGCAAAGGCGAATCCTGAGTCAGGTGAAAGAAAATCCGTTTGTGATGTCTTCAGCCGTTAAGAAGCAATATCCTTTGGATGTGAATGCTTTGACCATTCGAATGTTATTGATCAAAAACAATTTGAAAGCTTAAGTTGCTGGGAAGGTTACCTTATGCGGAGTTTAATATGCCCCTTCACACATCGAAGCGGGCAAAGGAATGGTTGAGACAAAACGGCATCGCAATTTTAAGCTAGACCGCGCAATCACCAGACCTTAAACTTATAGAAAATTTATGGCGGAAGATTAAAGTGGCTCTGAGAGGCCAAAATCCATCCAATAAAGAGGATCTTTGGAGGCTAGTGAAGGCCGCATGGCATAAACTTCCGGCTGTTATGTACCAGAATTTAGTGAATTATATGCCCAGACTTTGCACAGCATTTATAAAAAACAATGGATTCTGCACTAAATATTAATGTAACAGTTATTATTCTTTATCTTTTCTATTGATTATTTTATTAAAAATTACAGTTTTCAAATCACCGGAAACAAATAAATTTAAATAAGGTCTTCTGGCTCTATTTTAAAGCACAGCCAAAACGGGATATGCTTATGAGTTTTTAATTTTTTAATTTTAATTTTAATTTTAGACTTACAACTTTTAATTGGTATCTTAATATATACTCCATGCGTTGTTTCTTTTCTACCAAAAAAAAAATCTGAAAAAAACAAATTTCTTGAAATATATTGATTTAAAAGATCAATATAGTACTGGCTCTATTTCATTGCACATCACTATATGTGTTACTATAAAATATAAAATGTTGTTGTAGGGAAGTCAATGTTACCCGAAACAAAAATAGAATACATACGTACCATATGTACATATGTAACAAAGCTCTACAAAACAAAACAAAAAATTTTTGCCCTGGTTATTTTTACAAATTTTGATGCTTTCAAATGCCCAGATTACGAATTTCTTCATAATATTAAATATGCTTTTGTTTTTAAAATGAATGCATATCTTATATTTAAATCATTTATCCGCTTGGTTGCAATAAAATTTATTTTTTCAGTCATAATTAGGATTCTGCGCACCTTTTTCGCGTATACAACAATTTTTTATATCTCGCTTTCTTTTCAAAAGTAATTCGCTTTCACTTCCACTCAGAAACAATGAGTCGCTAAATACCTAGAGAATGGATGTGAATAAGAGAGACACCAACGTTATTTTCTCAAAACGAACTTAGTGATCTAATACGTGATCAAGTTAGGAAAACAATTTGTCAAAGCGTTGGACGTTGAAGGATATTGTTTAATTGAGATTTGTAGAAAATTTCTGAACTTAATATGGAAAAGTTAAAAGGTATAGAATATTATATATTGCAATTACTGAAAGATATAGATTTTATCAAAGTTATGACTGTTCTGAAAAGTGAATCTCGTAATAGTTTTGTGTTGATAGTCGAAAATTTCCTAGGTAACCATTAAGTGCCAAATTATGAGGAAATTGTCAAAATATGCTGACAAACAAGAGCAGAGCGGCTCGTTCGTGCACTTGGCTCCTCATGAAGCGGTATTTATATATCAGCACCTCTCTTATGTATTTATGTCCACACATACATATGTATGTACTTGCATAAGAACTCAAGATATGTTAAAAATCATAAATGCGAGCTGAAATATGTTGGCTCATCAAATTTTCTTTATACCGAATAGGTCATAACAAATCGTATACTCACGTATCGTGACGCTCACTGTTTTTTTTTTGTAGAGGCATACCATTCACACATATGTATCTTAGGGGATGAATGCACACATGTCCATTTGCACATTTATGCACAAATCTGTATATAGATAAGTATGTGTAGTAAAGTATACGCTTACTATAACATATTGACAGTATTTATAAACAAAAAGTTCTTATTAATTTTGCAATTACTTTGGACAATTAGAGTAACATAATTTTCAACGCTCTTTCATAATGTAAACAAAAATGTTTAATTTACTCCGTATTCAAATAGTTCCATTGATGATAATTTCATCAAACTAAAGTAATGACTTTAAATGCTGTGAGAGTATTTTTGACCAAAATTCAGTTCGATTTTGTCAGCGAGGAAGAGTGGAGTTGTTTTTGTTTTTTGGTTCTTTAACTTCATATTAAGAATCAATTTTTAAGTACACTTAGTTTTGTGTTTAGTGTTCAATGGTACCGTCGTCAATCGGACATCTTCGGAATGTAAAAATGTTGCTTACTTATGTACTTATAGGTATTTATATAAGTATTTATTTTATGTATGCAGTGCATAATTTTTAATAGGCGTTAATATTCACACACTTTCTTTCATGTCATTCAATTCGTCTAAAGCCAGTGCATCAGGTAATATTGAAGAACGTAAACAAAGTTTTAACTGACATCAACAAAAGAACATGTTTGAACTTGCATCGCCGCGTCGTGCATTGATAACTTAAACAAACAAACAACCTGTAATTTGAAAAACAAATAAATATAATATACATACTTATTTGGAATTTTACAATTTTTATATAAAGTGAGCTGTTCTTCAAAATAAATGTCAGTATTGACGGGAATTCTCAAGAGCTTAAAAGGTATTCAAGCGAGTATAAGGAGCAATTATTTAATAAATGAAAAAAATTATTAATGAAATGTAATCAAAACAGTTATATAATATATGTATGTAAATAAAAATGATCATTGCAACCGAAAACACGTCTACACACATGTGTAAACAAATTGCTTCTTAATAGTAAAGAAAGTGATAGTGCAATAGTAAAATAAAACTTTGTCAACTCTATTAATCGAATCGGAAAATAAAGAAATAAAAAGAAAAAAATCTGCGGAATTACGAAGTACTTAAATCAATGTACTGATTATCTATACTTAATATTATAAAGAGGAAAGATTTGATTGTTTGTTTGTATCGAATAGGCTAAGGAACTACTGAACGGATTTGAAAAGATCTTTCAACAATCAATATCAATAAGTCGGTCGCGTGCGGAATTTAATAATTTTTGCTCGAATATATTTTATGCTTTAAATTTGTGTACCAGATAATTAAACCCAACAAAAATCAGTTATTTTCAAAGCTAAACAACAGCTCTCCTCAGACGTAAGTCTATTATTTTTTAGTAGGTATTAATTGATAGTAAATATGATATATATTGTACATTTAACTATCCAAACACCTTAACAGCTCAGTTTTAATAAAATTAGTATTTAAATAATTATGTAGGTTCAAGAGCTAAAAAAATAATTTAGCATAAAGGCTGATAATTTTTATTTTCATTTTAAAATGCCCAAAAAATCAGATCTCAACTTTCTAGAAATAGTTCCCAGGCAAGGGCATCAAAAAGACGCCGTGATGCAGAATCTTCTTTAGAAATTGAAAATCTTTTTGCAAGTCAGAGAGAACTTAAGAAACGTATTTCTTATCACATTATGGATATCACCAAAATATTCCTTATCTTAGAGCAAAGGATATGCAACTAAACAAACAATATGTTATATGTAAACCAACTATCAACTAGTAATAAGTAAACACACTAGTTAGTATAAATAGTCCCAGTTCATACACAGACTCTTTTGTAACCCAAACTGGTTTATTGTGGGCGAGGGGACGACGAGGAAAGACGAAGGGTTCGTACCACTCGTGTTCGGGTGGCACGCTTTGTGTTCTTGTTCGTAGCAGCTCGCTGATACCCTTTTCAGCATTGCTTTTCACTTTCAAATTCTTTGAATGGTTGCAAGAGCGCTCGGTTTCAAATAAATATATACCATTCCTTCAGAAATTTGAATTCTGTTATCTAGTTTTTGTATGTATTATGAAAATATGTATGCATAGAATAAAAGAAACATTTTGAAAAATTGTAAAGTGTTGCGTAGCCGAACCGCACAAATATTTGCGAAGATTTTATGAAATGAAATGACAGAAAAACTCGATTTGAGTTGCTGCGTGTGAATCCACAGAGCGACATCAAAAGAGATAATGAGGGTCAATAGAGTCCCCATGTAAACGCAGTAATAGCAGTATGTAACAAGTCAGTCTTAAGAATATCAATAGAGAGTACATATTCCGGTGCAGCTCAAAAGTATATTTTTAATGACTCATATCGTGTAAACCATGTTAACTCGCGCGAGAGTCGAGTACGGAATATTTGTATCGGCTCGAAGAGCAAAATATAATATTAGAAATATACAAGTAATAGCTTAAACACAATACGGGCGACGCCGTCCGATGAATTTTCGCCGAGTGTTGCCGCCGTGTAAAACACAATACGGACGCTTTTCGCTGCAGCTAGTGTGTATTCCGCGCTCAAAAATATCACAATAAATGATGAAACCAAACATAAACAATCTTAATATTGCCAACTCAGACATTTTCTTAATCTTTTTTTGAAAATTCTTAAGGTTGTTACTGAAAATAATCTTTCTTTGATATGGTGATGCCGTTTTTGTCGCCGCGGTCGGCGATAAAATTTGGAATAGCTCTATCTCAAAAATCATCATGGTGGACGAAATTCGCCGCCGTCGCGTATTGTGTTCATCTTCATATACAATCATGTATTCTAATCACCGACGGCGTCGCCGAGAACAATATTCTTCGTCGCCCGTATTGTGTTTTTCTTATACAAAGAATCGAGCTCTGAGCGTTACGCGTCGCAATCGTGTGCCAGAGACTCGAGTATCGAGCATTCGTAGCAGCTTGTAAATTAATAATTAGCTTAGCTATAATACAAATCTTATACATATATATATATATTTTTTTTATTTTAGAATAAGATGGAGAAAAAGGTCGATGAAAAATTAGACAGTCTGACCAACTATGTGCCATTCATTAATTACTTGCTGGAATTAGATAATGTTAAATACAAAAAATTTGAAGATATACAACATTGGATAATATCTAGAAAGAGGTAAGTAAACTAATTTGTTATCCCCTTTCTTTTTATAAAATTTAATTCAACTAAATAGGTACCCGATGAATGTACTACAAAAGATTGAGCAGTCGATCATAACGCAGTACAGAAATTTGTTTTTGGATGATGTGGTAAGTTCTAACTGCAATATTAAAAAAATAAATATCACGATTATTTTATCTTATATATATCATATCCTAACATGTTGTATTTTGCTTTCATAATTTTGTTTTATGAACTAATGCAAAACCACAGCTCATAGTTTTATAAATATTCAACTTTAAGATTAAAAAGTGTGTCATAAATCAATTTGAGTATGTTAAGGAACATGTTCCTTTTCGCATTCACACCTCAAAAATAACCTAAATACATATGACCCAGTTTACATATATCAAAATACTTCTTTTCTTTGCCATATAACGAATTTATCAAAAATACTCGCGCCCTATGAAAACAAAATGAAATTTTCAAACGAAACGTTAAAAGATCCACTTATTTCCAATATGTACAGGTTGAAATTATCACGCTAACTCTCTTGAAGCACGACGATCTCATTCAAATCAAAACGTCACTTACATTCTAGCAAAAAATAACAGGAAAGAGGAATAATTCGCTGTTTGAAAAAATATTTATAACTAGTGATCCCGAAAGCAGTAAGAGAGAATACGAGTATAATCATATCAGAAATCTATAAGGAACTTCAAATAATAGGCGCTATTAATTTTCCGAAAAAAAAATTTTTATTCTGACATTAAGTTTGAAAGATGTGCCTGAGTTAATAAATCATGAACAGTGGAATCTTCCACTTGTTAGTATTACATAGATTAGTTATCTACAAAAAGCAATAGTAAAAATATTTAAATATCTGATGAATCAGAACTGTCTGATAATTGCAATATAAAAATGTTAAATTCATTCAGTAGAAAAATTTAGAGAATAGCGCTCCAATGCAATCCTCGTGAGATTGGAAACATCTGGATAGACAAAATTGTCCGATTTTCTTTATTTTCACTGTCATTATTAAGTATATGTTAGAGAATTATTCTCCAAAATTACAAGCTCTTAGCTTTTTAATTAAAGGCAGGCAGCCGGAAAGTAAAATTACTAAATAATCGGTTGTATGGGAGATATGTGATATAGTTGTCCGATCTGATAAAATTCCGACAAATGACCATAATGCATTTACGTATTGAATTTCATTCGGATATCTTAAAAACTGACGAAGAAATTGTTATATTTTTCCCCGTATATGCGATTTTTTCTTTTTTTGGCTTTCTTTAAATCAACCCGGTCTTATACACAGTAACATTTTTTAAGAAAACAATGTAGACTATCAAAATATGCAAAAAATAAACAATTTATTTTTTCAAAATTTCACACTAGGTGTGCCCATTAATTCTACGATACAGTAATTTCCATTTAAATGTTTAGCATTAGTAAAACCATATTATTTTTCAACCCACTCAAATTTTGATGAATTAGTGGAAAGCTCGAAAAATAAATCTTTAATTAATTTTTTACGTGATTTTAATACACATTAATGGAGTACAGAGCGAGATATAACTATGAACCATCATAAGTTACTAAGACCAACGTCATGCAGGTTGTGTGTAAATACCAGATAATAGCACAAAAGATAGATAATACATATGTTCTCAATATTCGGAATTTATGAAATTATTTGAGCATACCTAAGTTATGAAATCGAAATCAATATTAGTGTATACTTCCATTGTATGGTTTTGAAATATCTTCCTTACACATAAATACAAAATATAAAAATTATATTTTATTTTAAATTCATTTATAACATATCTTTTGTAACACCTTTTCTATAATTCTACTTTACAGAAAGTCCCCAAAAATATTATGGATATTTTTAATACACATGCGCATGTTAAATGCTTTAGTGTAAATTTGTGCTCCGATGACGAAGATAACGCTGAAAACTCATCGGATATTGAAGAGGATGACGATGATGTTATTATCGTGTCCATATCACCAAATGAACAAGATAAAGTGCAGCCACCAACAGAAAAACCGAATCAATGTGTTAAAAGCAATGATGAAGAGACATCCTCAGCTCGTAGTAAAACCAAAGAACAGGAAGTGACTTCCAAGCCCGCTTTAGAACCTTGCATAATTGACGAACCAATATGCTTAGATTCGGATGACGATGAAGTATTGATTGATACAGTTCCAAACGATGATGAATTATGTGTCAAGAAGGAGCAACTTTTTAAGCGGAGGGGAGATTTTATAGACAGTGTTGAAGAGAAAGAAGAAAGTAAAGAAAATGAAATAGATGCAATTATTCAAAGGTATGCGAATCAACCAAATGAATTGAGCAAAGATAAGGGTAAACCAATTGAGGTTGTTCAATTGCACCACATGCGGAAGGCGGATTTAGATTTGGAGAACATGAATACAGATAAGTTGAATCATATCTATGAGGATTTAACAAAGGAAATTGAAATTGATGTCGAGCAATTGCTGAAAAGTGTAAACTTGACTTCCACGGAAAAAGAAAATAATACAAATAATTTGCCATATGAGGATTTTTATAGTTCACCAAATTGCACAAATAAGTCTACGTATGAGGATTTTATTAGTTCAACCCACTACACAAATACAGGTGTATCTGTGACTCCTTATCCTGTAGTGAATTCAAACGTAATACAACCCAATATATATAGTATACGACCTCCTATATTGCCACCACAGACACCGCTTAGATTAAATTTAAAAGACCCGCGAATCGTTAAATTATTAGAAAAAAGTAATACTTTGCAAATGATTTCAATGGGCATGCCCATAAGAAACGTAACTACATCGACGGAATTGCCGAAATCTGAGCCAAAAACATATGGTGATTATAAACGGGAAAAAGCGGAGAAAGCGAAAAAGGCTGAGGAACTGAGGAGAAGAGAAGAAGCGAGGAAAGCCGAAGAATTAAGAAGAATAGAGGAAGCTAAAATATCAGAGGAATTAAGAAGAATAGAAGAAGCGAAAAGAGCAGAGGAACTAAAGAGAATTGAAGAAGCGGAAAGAGCAGAGGAACTGAAGAGATTACAGGAAGCGAAAAGATCAGAGGAATTAAAGAGAATAGAGGAAGCGAAAAGAGCAGAGGAACTAAAGAGAATAGAAGAAGCGGAAAGTGCAGAGAAATTACAGAGAATAGAGGATAGGAAGAGAGCAAAGAAAGAGGAAGTGAGGAGTAAAGAAGAAGCCAAAAGATCAAAGGAAATATCAAATATCATCATAGAGGAAGCGAAAAGAGCAGAGGAATTAAAGAGAATAGAGGAAGCGGAAATAGGTGAAGAACTACAGAGAATAGAGGAAAGGAAGATAGCAACGAAAGAGGAAGTGAGGAGTAAAGAAGAAGCCAAAATAACAAAGGAATTGAGAAAAATGGAAGAAACGAACAGAGGCACTGCATTGTCAAATGGAAACAATCAATTAAACTTATTTGGTGAGCAACAAACTGATTTCAGAAGTATACTTTTGAATACTATTCTACCATATGGTGACAAAATACTACATGTCCTTAGAAAAGACAACGATTTGCAAGAACTTACTGATAAAATAACAGAATTGGGCAATTCCAAAAAAGAAGCAGATAAAAAAACTGCTGCTAACACAACCTCAGTAAGTCATCAAATATTATCTGTTGTTGATGCTGCAGTTAATGAGAGTAACCAAAATACCGAAAGTGCAAATAATGTACAAAATAGTTTGGAAAAGCAGACAAAATGCGAGCTTTATTCTAAGTACACACAAAAGAGCAATAAGCGTCGGCGAAAAGAAAAAGAGAATAAAGCAAAAACTGCTTTCAAAAGAATACGTAGTATTTCCTCTTCTTCGTCAACAACATCGGAATGGGAATCGTCGTCCATAGCATCGACGATAACAACACAGCCTTCAACCAGCTCTACAACAGCTGCTAATAGTAAGAGAGCAAGAGAGAATCAACCATTGGTTTATGAGCCAATTATAAAGTTAAGAAGACTTTCAGCGGAAACTATTTCAAAATACACGAAAATGCCGTTAGTAAACGAGTCCAAAACTATAAACATACTTTTAGTAGAAGACGTCAAAAGGACGAAGAAAACCGTGCATCATTTTGTCAAGGAGAAACCGATCAAACTAAATGTTAAATATAAAAACATGGATCTAAATATGACCAATAATAACACGAAATTTTGTGTTTTGTGTAAATCAAAACCATCCGATTTAACGAATCACTACAAAAGGGTACACAAAACCGAATCGTATGTGGCACGTCTCAGCAGATCCGCCTTACAATATTTGGAAAACAACATTTCATTTGCACAAAAATTAGCAAAAACTACATCACAGAATGTTATAAAGTATAAAGTTAAATGTGCTTTTTGTGAGGATGAAATCGAAGATAAGTTTATAAGTTTTTACAAGCATTTCTCTATACATACCGGGGAATATGCTTTTAAATGTGATATTTGCAAGTTGGAAAAACCCTATGAATTTGACATACAATCGCACAAATGTCATTCGAAGTCCTGTCGCAATGCCGCCATACGAACACTCTACCAATATCCACCAAACGTGCTCGTCATATATTTATATTGTTGTAAAATATGCAATTTCGTGCAATTAAATGAAGCCAATACATTTAAACATTTGCGTGATCACCATGACAAACGGCAAGATGATTCGAGTTGCATAAAAAAATATATACTCACAGCTATAAATGATGAGGAGACTTGCGAGAAATCCGCTGAATTAGATACAAACTATGAATTACTAATGAAGGATGATGATGTTGAAGATATACCGGTGAAAAATGAGGCCATACCAGAAGATATAACCGATTTCCAAAAAGCGGAAAAAGAGCAGTTAGAGTCAAATGAATTGCCTGGTAGGCAGCAAGACTTCAAAGCCTCGATTAGCAACGGCTTAGCAATGGTAGAACTTCCGAGTACCAAATACTACAAATACTCCTCTGTACTAAATAAAAATCCAACAATGGTGCAACAGAATGATGAAGGACCTATAGTTATGTCATCAGTGGAAAATTTTGTGAATTCAAGTGCTGTGCCGTGTTTGGAGTACATAAAAACGGAATGCTCGGACCTATTACCGATACAAAAAGAAAATTATAGTTGTAAGAAACTAACGCAAAATTCCAGTAACATTTTGTATCGCCAATATCCTAATGAAGTTTCTTATTTCGGCTTATACAAATGCATGGCAACGGATTGTCTATTCTCAACGGATGCTAAAGAGGAAATATTACAGCACCTGCAGGAACATTTGAGCAGCGAATGCCCACCCGAAGACTGTCTACTATGCGCTTACTGTCAATTAGATGCAGAGAATTGCTCTACACCTGAAGAGTTGATTGCACATATACAACAAAATCATCAGCATTCGCAGTTTCAATGTTCACTTTGCTGCTATCGCGGTATCTCACCAAGTCATGTTTCAGAGCACTTTAAGCATGCGCACTCAGAACAAGAGTTGCAATTTGTGTTTAAATGTGCGTTGGATATCAATTTAGACACTAGTGTACCAACAAATATCGCTGAATTGCTGGAAGAAAATGTGGAACCGCTCGTTTGTCCGCTTAACGGTAAAATGCATTATAAAATTCATTTTGGCATAGTACGAACATTTTGTTTTTACTCTTATTTTTATACTATAGATTGTGTGCAGAGTTTCCAGAGCGTGATTTGGATGAAAAATCATCTCATGCATACGCACTCTTTGCCGATCAAAAGTGAATTTATTACAGGGCTGGAAAAATATGCATGTATATATTGTACAATGAATTTTTATAATTTGGAGAAGGTCAATAATCATTTGGCTACGAACCATCCCGACCGGCAGCCTTACGTTTGCGAGAGAATTTTGCTTCCAGAAAAAGAGGTAACATTGTCTTTATGTTTTAATCTATAGCACTTAGCTGTAACTAAAGAATGTTAGGACCAAACTTCCAAATATGAAAAGAAGTTAGTTAGTAGTTAGTCCCAACTACCATATTAAACATTTTTTTTTTTTTGAAATTAGGTGTATGTATAATTAAGAATTAAAAAAATAATTTGTTTTACAATAATATATTTAATTATGTGACAATGTTTCTAGTATCCCCTTTCGATCTTGGCCGTTTCTTACTTTTTTTATACTCTCGCAACCTGTTGCTACAGAGTATAATAGTTTTGTTCACCTAACGGTTGTTTGTATCACTAATCGAGTTAGATATAGGGTTATATATATATAAATAATCAGGATGAAGAGACGAGTTGAAATCCGGGTGACTGTCTGTCCGTCCGTCCGTCCGTCCGTCCGTCCGTGCAAGCTCTAACTTGAGTAAGAATTGAGATATCTTTATGAAACTTGGTAGACATGTTTCTTGGTACCGTGAGACGGTTGGTATTGCAGATGGGCGTAATCGGACCACTGCCACGCCCACAAAACGCCATTAATCAAAAACAAATAACTTGCCATAACTAAGCTCCACAATAAGAGACAAGACCGTTATTTGGTACACAGGATCACATTAGGGAGGGGCATCTGCAGTTAAAACTTTTTTTTTTAAAGTGGGCGTGGTCCCGCCTCTAATAGGTTTAATGTGCATATCTCCTAAACCCCTAATACTATAATAACAAAATTCACTAGAAGCAAATGTTTTTAGCACTTCTATTGACGGTGTGAAAATAGTTGAAATCGGGTGGCAACTTCGCCCACTCCCCATATAACGGTACTGTTAAAAACTACTAAAAGCGCGATAAATCAAGCACTAAACACGCCAGAGACATTAAATTTTATCTCTGAGATGGTATAAATTGGCTTTATAGGAACCGCGTTCAAAATTAGTCAGTGGGCGTGGCACAGCCCACTTTTAGGTGAAAACCCATATCTTGAGATCTGCTCGACCGATTTCAACCAAATTCGGTGCATAACGTTCTTCTCATGTTTCTATGTCATAGTGCGAAAATGGGCGAAATCGGACTACAACCACGCTTACTTCCCATGTAACACCATTTTCAATTCCATCTGATTCTTTCACTTTCCACTATGCAAATCAGGTAACAATGATTATATCGGGGTAAAACTTTGCGTGAATAATGCAATTAAAGTATGCCACCTTGCGGCCAAAAATTGTCTAAATCGAACCAAAACTGTTCAAACCCCTAAGTACTAAATATGTGGACCCCAGTGCCTATAGTTGACCTTCTACCGAAAATATCAGTCAATCCACAAAGAAATCTCAAACGAGTATACCATTTGACTTTGCGAGAGTATAAAATGTTCGGTTACATCCGAACTTAGCCCTTCCTTACTTGTTTTAATATATTAATTAATTTGAATCTCCTACTTAATTGAAACTTTTATATTTTTTCAGGAGGATTTATTGCAAAATTTAACGATAACATTTGTGTCACTACCAACAATACCAGCTGAAAATATCAGACATGTAAAGGTTAAACCAGAATTCGGTTTTAACTCTACGAATGACAGGTCTTTGTTAACGAGAACAGTTACTGCAGAAAATCATGGTGCGTTTGACACCAAGCCAAATTTAGAGCAATTAGTGCGAACAGCTGAAGAGAGCGTCAAACTGAGTTTGCTCAAATTGATCGAAAATACGGGCATTTCACCCAATTTACTCTATCATTGCCCACAATCTACATGCGGTGGATTTTTCTCATCCTACGACTTGTGGTATAGGCACATGAGCCTACGGCATTGTTGTATTTTAAGCATTTGTCCACATTGTACCAATGATAAGAAGACCGAGTTGCCATTGGTCGATTTCAAAGAGCACTTCCAACAACACTGTTGTCATCTATATGGCTGTTTCCATTGCGGTGAAACATTCTCTAATGAGCAGGCAACAAGAGATCACATATCAGTTGCTCACAAAGATATAAATACAGACGCTGCGACGATACAAACAGCAAAGGTGGCACTTTATTTCAATCAATCATTTAATATATTGCTGAAATCGGGACAAGAAAAGGAGAGATACAGCCTTTTGTTGGAGCTGCAAGAAGTGGTACAAAATCGTTGTAAATATATAGAAAAGTTGTACTATGAATCTTTAAAAACACAGTGGATTGTGCCGGTGACCGCAACGTGGTTGGAGAACTTTCCCAGTTTCAAAACTAATGAACGGATCAAACGGAAGTGCTTTTGTCAACATTGTCCCTTCCAAGCGTATGATAATGAATTGTTTTATGAGCATTTAAGAAAAAGTCATCAGGTTAATAATAGTAAATTTGTGTGTGCCAAATGTGATTTTCATGTAGCGTGCAACAACTGGGACCCCATTATAGATCACATAAAAATGCATGTGCTAAACATACACATATGCTCGGTATGCTCATATTATCATCATGATCGACAAGCAATACGTGCACATTTATCGCAAGAGCATCGCTTTAGAGATGTACCGATTGTGACGCTAATACGTTCGTCGTTGAATACTCAAATTTCGTTAGCCATTGTATTTGCACAGCAAAGAAAAACATTTTCTACCATAAACACTTGCTTTTGTTGTGATAAAAACAGTAATGCATGGCATGCATTAGCCATACATTTGAAGAAGGCTCACCATTTGACATTGCAATATTTTTGTGAAATATGCGACGAGTCACTTAAACTCACAGAATGTGATGTGCATTTTACCAACTGTCATCCAACAGCAGCGTTAAGAATACGCTGTCAAATTGCTACTAACACTCAAATAATTATAGACAGCGTGATGCCATTCAAGCTCATAATGAAATCAAATGTTAATGATGCACTCGGCGTAGTAAAAGTAATTAAGCAAGAACCCTGTGATATTGATACGGATAGTGATATTGAAATAATTAATGACGATGATATTGTCATCGCTAATGATGTGAATATGTGCGAAACACAGAAAAATCCTAAAGCCATTAGATGTGTGACTGTGGCAAACCTACAAAGGCAGCACACAAATAACGCTAGTTTTGAAAAGCTTGCATCGCAACAGCCACCACTGCCAGTTACAGATTCTCCAGCAATTAGATGTGTGAATGTTGCGAACCTACAAAGTCAGCACAAAAATAACGTTAGTTTTGAAAGGCTTACATTGCCAGAACCACCACTGCCAGTTGCTGTATCAATATCACAGACACAGCCACAGCAACAACTGCAACTACAGTCACAATTCATTCCACAGTTCATGGCTCAAGCGAGACACCTCTACCCGACGGGCGTAACAAATACAAACACGCCTTTATTTACACCGCGGTTAGCAATGCATAGCCAAAATCCAAATTTCACCGGTGACTGCAATTACAGGCCTATTGAAATTTTTATAAATGCCACGGGTAAGAAACTAGTTTTATTCAATAGAATGTATAGAAATGAGCTAGGGATTCAAAGACGAATTCTTATATGTATTTATAAATATGTAATGTTCTCACGACAATTGAGTGTGAGGGAATTTAAAAGTGTAAAGACACTTGAGGCCTTATTACTCGTGACCTTGACTCAGTACAGCACCACCACAGCATTTAGATAGTTCGTGACCTAAATCAAAAATCAAAAGCTTTTGTCCCAGTCAATGTTACAACGCTACTAGAAGACATCAAACAATCTACGTTCCCTTTAGGGCTGAAGGGATGGACCATTAACTATCTGAGCGGTCGGCAATCATCCGTACTATTTCGAGGTCAAAATTCTAAGTTAAGAAGAATTAAGTACGGGGTCCGTAATCAGCTATCTCACCCATCTTTTTCGCTTCTTCTCTGCAAGGAGCCCCTACTGAAACCACAGTGACCATATTCACGAACTGGACGAAGGAGTACAGACTGGATCTAAATTTCACAGGTGATGGCATTAAAATTCCACTGTCAACAACCTTAAGCTTTTTAGCGTTACACTTGTCAGCTTGTGCTCTTTCACTCCGCATACGACCGCGATTATTTCACAAAGTACAGAGCAGTAACAAAACACGGCAATCGGCCTGACGGGCATTAATTACACAGCACCAATCAGTTTCTGTTGGTATGTTTTCGTAGAAATCACCCTTCATAGCAGACGAAGAGCCGAGAATCTCAGCAGGTTACACTCCTACTTATCCAAAATTGAACCCCAGATAAAAAATACATGTCCTGCGAGCAACGAGTGCCCGCATGAATATTGCCTTTGAATGCTCAATGAAGCCCACTCATTTAACACCTCTCTCTATGGTCCGACCCCTTACCACCCAAAAGGGTTATATAACCGCTAAAACAATAACAATAAAAATCATTTCAAGTAGAAAAATTGTATATTGAAAATTAATTATAAGTAGATTAGGTTTGTAGCTACTAGCTATCAGAAAGAAAAATATTGCAAATCTTAGCAAGTTACTCTCACAAATTTTTAATCCCAAAATCGATATTAAAAATTGAGATAATATTCTTTAATTTAAAGATTTTAGTAACAAATAAAAACTGAAAGAGGTAAAAAGAAAAGATTTACATATTTCTAACTGAAACACTATAATTAAAAGTAATTACATGACAATGAGTGGTCATCTATGTGAATATTTTATTTAAAATAAGCTTTCCTTTAAAAAAAAAACACCGAAATGGTAGAACACGAAATACCCAAACGCGAAAAACTTAAATTCTAAAACAATTTATATTTTAATTTTAAATTAAAAACTTAGGATAACATTTTTTTCAATCTAAGATTTAGGGTTCATAAAAATTCATTATTAAATTTTAATCCGATTTTTGGAGTAAATTTTTTTTACTTTCCATTCAATACCCTGGGGAATAAAAATTTATTTTTAATTTTTAACACGGTTGTGTATAGACTCAATGAAGAACCTTTAGACTCTTACCGCTGCTGAGGGAAAAATAAAAATCTTCATTAAGCTGAGAATATTTATATTTTAATTTTATTTAATTATAAGAATTTTTATTTTATTATTTGAGTAGTGTGGCAAGGAGTATTTAAATTTCCAATTATCCTTAAAATTACCACTATCTTTTAGTATCTTTTTATACATGTAACAACTAAATAAAATGATATATTTTTTATTTATAGACAATTCTCCGAACAACAATTACTCTCTCCAAAATTTTCACCCATGAAAGAGATAAGGCTTTACGTCCATGGCATAATTGTGATAAATAAAAAATATAACTCTTCTTAGGCATGTACCACTTACTAAATTAAGTTTGTGTACTAGTATATATTCAAGAGATTACCATTGATAAAACTAAATGCAAACACTTTAAGTTTTATAGTTTTTTAAGCCTATGTAAATCAAGATGCCTTACTACGTTAAGTTATGTTATAGATGTCAAGCGAATGTAAGATTCTGTGGTCGAATATATTGCCAAAAATATTGTAATAGTGTGGTAGTATTAATTGAGTTATACATTCAATTCAAAGATGATTATACTGAAGCAAATAGTTAAGATTTTTATTAATATATTTTAAATTTATATTCATGTTATAAACAACCATATTTGTTTAAAATTGCAATTTAAGTGAAATAAGTTCTGTGAATTTTTTAACTTGAAAAATTTATTTTCTTTTTTATTATCTTAAAATTTATTACTTAGAAATCGCAATAAATTTTTGTGAATAAATAAATGCTATTAAGAATAGTGTAGGTGTATGTTTTTCAGCATTAACATACATACATATAAATGTATAAAGTACAACTTTTTAAGAAATAAATTACCAGCAAATATTATTTTAAAAATTCCATTTTGAAATACAAAATTTTTTGTTTGCTTTTTAATTTTTCCAAAACTTTTCAGCAATTTTAGCTTACAAAAGAAAAACGAAACTTTTAGAAAAATTGTAACTTACTTCTCAATATAGTTACCGTTTAGCTCGATTCACTTGACCCAAAGATCGATCAAATTAAATTTCTGTCGGGCGAGTGACTTTCAAAAGTGGATGTGCAATATTTCGTAGTCTAATTTGTCGGATTTGGCCGTGACGAGAAAGGAGGTCTGAACTAATGTCTTTGGCGAGCCAAATGGGTATTCTCCAATTTGGTGGAATAGACACAATAAAAACGGAGTCCGGTGATCGTTTTGTTTTCAAATTATTCTTTATGAATCCAAAAACAGTAAGTATATCCTTTCCGACTGATAGGTTGGCCTACGCTTTCTTCGGAGTAGATTCGCCGGGTGAACCCCACTATTACGACTGTTCCTTGATAGTAGCTCCGACGGTCACGAAATGCCACAAAAACTACTTCGCATTGCGCTTAATTAGTGTCAAACACCATTGCGCTTGTAGTCCGGAGTAAGCAAACGTTTCACGTATTTAATGATCTTTCTAAACATTGAGTCTTTTCGAAATACTATCACCAATGCCGTTCTAACAATAGTCGAATCTACGTTAACGGAAAGGATCCTAATTTTGAACCCACTAAGAATGGTCAACTCGACAACATTCCTCAAATTTGTTAAGGTGGCTAATATCAATTTCGGCTATATCCTGGTGTTTGGATGTTTCCACCTGAAGTTCCTCCATCAAGACAAGACGAACCTTGCTAAGAGCAAGCAGTTCAGTGGATCTCTTGCGTTTTTGCTTAGACCAGAAGGATTTCGCTGTCCTACAGGAGCTGATTGATCTAAAGGTCTAGCGCTGGAACGCAAGAGGCGATCAAGTTCGTTTCCAACCCGATGTAATTGGGACAAGCGTATCCCTTCTAGCCAGCTCATCGATTTTGTAGTGTCCAACAATTCCGTTTAAACGAGACACCCAAACTTATATTTCATACAATCTTATTGAATACCACCATTTTATTTATAAGTTTCATTCTTCTCGATTTGAAGTCCTATAAAATGACACACTATTGTAAGACGCAACACAAGCCAATTGGGTTATATCATATTCCGCTTAAAAACAAGAGTATGATTTTTGATCAATAAATAAAAGTTATTTTATATATGTATATCCTTTAGCATATGTACACACACATATATATTTACTTTATTTTTCCAATTAACTATTACAGACAAGTATAATTTAAGAGTATTTCTTAATTAAGTAATTATCAATAAAATAAAACTTAAATATTTTGTTTTGCATAAAAATCATTTACATTCAATAAAATGATCGTATTAGTATATATTAACTTAACCGTTATAATTTTTGTGATAAAAAACATTTATTTAAATTCATAACTTCAATATTTAAGCTAATCAAATAAATACTTATTATGTAATAAAAAACTAAGATATAAAATTCACTCATTTGTATATTGCAAACTTCTTTATTTTGAGCGTTTCGATTCATTCGAGCCCATATCTTTGGACATAATTTCTGTCATTTTTCGTTTTCCTTGTTGTTGCACTCTGGTGACAGTCGTTCCGCCGCCACTAGTAATTAAAAGAAGAAGCAGAAGAATTATTAATACATTTTATTAAACAAAATATTTGAGCTCAATTGCAGGTGAAGTATAAATTCGGTTTAACAAAACGCTAAGCAATGACGTGAGGGAAACGAGATTGATGCAAATTCAACAATACACTTTCAACTTCTCTCACTCTTTCTTACTTGCAGTACAGCTTTAAGATATTTAAAAAAATGCATCACAGCTGGCCTCACTCCAGAAGTGAACCAGAGGGACACCAAAGAAATTGAACTGGTTTCGAATGTCATTTTCTGCCCAGAGCAGAACCACAGTTAGAACCGTTCTGACGTTTGAGCCCCCACTGTCACTAAATATAACAATAACATGCTCCAAAAACGTTCCATCTTTAAAAACCCCAAATTAGTATCCTAATCGGAGTTTTTTTTACCATTAACCCTTCACAGTTGTTTTTCTTATAACAACTATTGCATAACTAAATCTGTAGAATCTGTTGTAGAACGGTTTGCATCCATCTGTTGACATGTATGAAATCCGGATGGTACGAATATCCTATTAATATTCGTTGGTGCAATTATTTTATAAAAGTTGCTTAAAGTAAATTTAAAATTAAGTGGACAACCAGGATTGCAAATAATGCATTAATAGAATTTACATCTAAATAATTTTTTTTCTATTTTAAAAATTATAATAAAAAAGTAATTATTAAAATAATTTTTAAATTTCTAATCCCAAATACAGAATTGAAAAATACAAAAAATGTTAATCCCAAGTTTATAATAAAAATTTAAAAAAATTGTTTTTGAATTTGCATTTTTTTACGCTTGTGCATTTCGTGTTCTACCACTTTGAACTAGAACTCGCACAGTGCCAGCATCTTCACTAATCTAGAGCAGTGATCGGTAAACTTACACATTCAAACGATTTATATCTTATCAAATTTTAGTATTGATTTTGGGATTAAAAATTAATTAAAAAATTTTTTATAACAACTTTGCAATTGAAAATAAAATTTTCCAAAATTCTTAAATATTTTGGATTAAAAATTGGAATTTGGATTAAAAATTGGAATTAGAAATTGAAAATCTAATTTTTAATCCAAAATTCTTTAAAATAAAAAATCTCAACCCTGTGAACAACATACCCTTTTGTTGGAGCCCCAATCACAAACTTTTTCTGATTAATACAAGTCTCCAGAATGTACTTGTTATCACTGGACGACGACGACAAGGAAGATTGCTTCGAAGAACTGGGCTGTATTTTAAGTGTACTGGCACCTAAGGGCGCTTTATGCACTTGAACGCTTGTAGCAGATTGTGTTGGTGTAATGAGTGTGGGCAAACGCTTGTCCGTAGCGAGTGCTGCTTTGCGGGCATCACTTTGCAACGTTTGCATGCTGGTTTTAATTGGCGGCGTTTTCGGATTACCATTGAGAGCTTTGACAGTGGCAAGGGTTGTCGGTAGTGAGTTTTGTGTAGTTGTTGTTGTTGGCGTTGACGATTTTACTGGTTGGATTTGCACACTTTGCGGTTTGCGTTGAAGTATATTCTTATTTTTCATCGTCAATAATTTCGCTGCAAGTTCGGCTGCGCTCGGCTGAAAGGAATTGTGTGCGCTTTGCGCAGATGTAGACGTTGCAGCGGATTTCAATATTGACTCGGCGTTTGGCGTTAACTTCGTTTTGGTCATTGTATTTGTGGGCTTCGATATGGTACGATTTAGGGATTTTTTGTTGTTTTCAAAAAATTTACTCGCCGTATAGGGTAGTGTGGGTGTGGGCGATTCACTTGTGTTGTTAGCACTTGAGGCCACTTTATTGTTGGTGGGATTTTTCGTTTGCAACTTGATTTGATTGAAAGTCGGCTTGTTGTGCGCGCTACTGGTATTGGTGTTTGTAACGGCAGTTAGTGAAATGCTTGGTGAGATATCACTAAATTGCTTTGGGATGCTCGTGGAGCCAGGCGGGCTGGTCGTTGGTATTATTTGCATTTCAGGATTCGTGCTCATATTATTATCGCTTGGCATTTTAACGCTTGTATTTTTATTTGTAAAAATACTTGCGCCACTGGGCGCACTGCTGGTTTTGAAAGATGTTTGAAAACTTGCCAAAGTTGGCATGCCGCTTTGTTGTTGCTGTTGCGTTTCTTTCGCAGATTTCTGATTGGGTGTTAAACGTTCGTCGATTAGGTTCGTTGCATGCGTTGTGTGCGCCACATCACTGGGAAAACTACGTTTGGAAGCAACTTGCGGCAGTGGTGAGCTACGAGCGCCGCTCGAATTTGCCACCGAAAAATTACTCTTAGCTGAAATGGACAACGACAAATCTGTTGCTGTTTTTGGTGTTGTTTTATCGGTTTGTGATTTATGTGCTGGCGGCTCCATAGCCTTTGGCGAAGGACTATTTAAGCTTGTTAAAGCATTTTTGTCGAAACTAAGATTGGTGGGCGACGGATAGAGCGGATTACGAAACTGGTTTAAGGGTGTGTTAGTAGCACCCTTTGATTTATTGCCATTGCCCGAAAAGTCATGCCTGTAATTGACTAGGCTTTTCAAACTATTCTCATACATTTGATAGTCGTAATTCGCCTGCAGACTACTCGCTGTTGGCGGCGTTGTTGATGGGTAGGTAGGCGAGTTATGTTGCCTGGGCGGTAATGTTGGTGTGTTTACATTGTGTGACATGTGATTGCCAACCGCACCCAAGCCAAACATACTCAAATCGCCGAGCGCACTGAGCGGATTGGTTTGCAATGGATTGCTGTGCATATTCAAGTCGGGTATGAGCGGATTCGTGGCAATTGATTTCGGTGGATTTTGTGCGAATGGTGTGCCGAATGCTGCAGCGCCAAGTGAAGTACTTATGTCAGGATAGGCAAATGTGCCCTCGGCTATTCTCTTTCGCATTTCTAAATATTGCTGATTGGTAGTGTAATTTCCTAAATGCGAAAGATATGGCAAGTACGATGAAAGCGCCGCAGGCGAATAATTACCGTAATTGAAGAGTGCCGACATTTGCTAAAAGAAAATAAATAATATTTATCAGGGAGGCATAATGATTATTTGGAATATTAAGTATATTGGTGAATTAAAATTGACGAAAGTAAATACATAATAAACTTAATCAAGTATTGCTTGGATTTTTTATTTGGCTTCACAAAGTACTGTCTTTATCAGTCCAAGCGAAGGACAGATTGTTATGTACAACAGTTAAATATTTTGATTAATTAACAATTTCAATCCGTTTCTAACAGTCATAAAAATATTTTAGGTAAGTAATACGAGTTTTTGAAAAAAAAAAATTTTATGTATGTGTTAGTCGTGAAAAAAAATTAGTATTTTATAATTACAAAAAAGAGCTTGAAATATCAGTGAAGAGCAAATTCATACTCCCTCTGCAAAATATTGAAATTGAAAATAAGTAAGGCAGAGCTAAGTTCGGGTGTAACCGAACATTTCATACTCTTGCAACTTGCAAGAATCAAAGCCTGGGAAACACCCTCAGGTGTTGGCATAACTTTATATCAAACTAGGGAAAGTATCGTCATTTCCTTTAAAGACAAGAAGTTCCACTGTTATTAGAAAGTGATTTCTTCAGAGTTTCTGAGAAGATTTTATACATATTGGCTGATAATTTTTTTATTTTAAAGGCTATTTTTCGATATTTTAATTGCAATTCTTGCAACATACATACATACATATGTATATTTTCAAAACAATATATTCGTTTATGTTTGATTTATATACTGAAAAGTGAAAGATTCAGATGGAATTTAAAAGTTTGTTTTTTAGCAGTATGCGTGGTTGTCATCCAATTTCCCCATTCCTAGAGTATCTAATAGGAATGTTTCGGTAATCTTACACACCAAATTTGGTTGAAAGCGGTAGTAGTTCCTGCGATATAGGATTTCATCTAAAGGTAGACGGTGCCACGCCCATAGACCAATTTTTTTCATTTTTAAAAATTTCTTAGTCAGCAGGTGTCCCTTGCTACTGCGTTCTCCTACACGAAATTGCCGTCTTAATTTAGTGCTTAGTTATGGCACTTTAAAGTTTTACGTTTAATCGCGGTTTGGTTGCGTGGCAGTAGTCCAATTCCGTCCATCTGCAATACCACCCTCCCTTGCGTGTCAAGGAATATGTATACCAAGTTTCATCAAACATTTTTTTTACTCAAGTCATCGCTTGCACGGACAGACGGATGGACAGACAGTCACTCGGAATTCAACGCATCTCGTCATCCTGATCATTTATATAAACATATCTCGATATCTATCTCGATTAGTTTTAGGCGCAACAAAAAACCGTTAAGCTTAACCTAACTTCTTACTAATTAACTGACATTTGTGAAATCATTTTATATAAACAATAAGAAAATATACAAATTTTCAAAAATCATTAGTACCACTTACATTGAAAGCATTTAAAGAACCCATGTACGAAGGAAACTTTGGTGCTGAGAGATTGTTTTGCAGACTGTCAAATATAAATTTAAATTTGTATTTATATATAAACTGATGTAATATTTACGTATTTATAATTTTTTTATTTTATAAACTTTAAATGATTACGAGGAAACTTTAATATTTGGGTTTCGTTTGGGACGACAATTTTCTTCAAAGTTTTCTCATGCTGATTTAATGTTTAT